AAATGAGATTAATTTGCAGTGAATCAAATCTCGTTTTAATAAGAAGATGCAGTTTTATTAAAACCACTAAATTTTAGTTAATTTTTTGCACAATTTTTAACTGTTTTTTTTTTTATTTTGGAAAATTTAAGTTGACCATTCAATATATAAAAGTTAACTAAATTTACGTGCCTTTTTCTAAAAAAAAAAAGTCATTGAATTGGTCGTGATAATTTTATAAGTTTGAGTTATGTTTAAAATTTCCTGATAAGTAATAAATTATCATTAAATAACTAGATAAAAAGTATAAACTAATATTATGAAGAAGGTTTTCTAATTTCACTCCTTAGGGTAATGTGTGTTAAAAATTTTGTCAATAAATCAAATGAAGTTTGCATTAAAATTGGAAAACTTAATAATTGATCAATTTTGATATAACTTTTTTCTTTTCAAGGACAAAAAGTTTGTTATGTTCATTTAAATGAATATATAGATTGAATATATAAATTTTTCATGGCTTACCATTACGAATGACAATGTGGGATGGGTCATGTGGGTTGATTTATGCGTGCAATAAAATTTGAGATGGATTGAGTATTTTAGTCAACTAACTGCTTGAACTTGTTTCACATAACTTGTAGTCTGTATAGGCCAATAATGAGTTAATCCATATTTGGTCCACATTGTCCGTGATGGATTGAGTATTTTAGTCAATTGCTTGAACTTGTCCCACATAACTTGTAGTTTATACCGGCTAATAATGACTTAACCCATATTTGGTTCACATTGTCCTTGTTTAATTCTAAAATTTAACCATACTATAATAGTAAATCGTGTGTGTTTTTTTAAGTAACTCGTTCATTTGTATTCTTTTATCCATCTAAAAATAGTTCCTTCATTCACATTTTTACCATTGTTTCAGTTTAGTTTAAAGTGATTTCTATTATCAACGCTTATACATAAAAATTAAAAATTAACAAATTATAAATATTATATTTTAAAAAATAGACTTATAGAATTTATAATTTCTAGTAATTTAATTAAATAAAAATAAAAATATTAAAATCTCATACCCTAATATTTATACAATTGAACTCAAAAAGTATAAAAGACATAAATTTTAGAAAAATAAGTGAAAAATTGATTTTTTTAAAAAAGGAAATACATAAATTTAGGAAAGAAAAAAATTACAAAAAATAAATAATTTTTTATTTGAGCTGTGGACCAACTCAGAAACCTATAGGCCAAATGTTATACGCAACGAATTAAAAAAAATGAGTCTCCATTTTTGTACGGGTTGAATATAAAGTAAGATAAATGAGAGAGCGATCCACATTATGATATATACTGAGAGTTGAAAAGGGGAGACGAGTGGAAGAAAATGAATGAAGAATTATATATATGAAATACATCCATTGAACTTTATTGGTTTTCTATTAGAGTGAATGGCAGAAATAGAATGAGTGATCCTTTTAGTAATCTATCGTTTTCTTCTTTCCTCTGTCATTTAATATCTATTCCCTCTGCTTCTTCGTGAAAAAATAGTATACAGATTATTTGATTCCCTACCGTAACATAAAATAAATTCTATTTGATTAACCACTTCTACGAAACTTTCCTATTCTGCTTCTCAAATGCATGTGACAAGGGAATAACGTCTAGCTAGATATATACACCGATTCAAACAAGCAACCTTTAAAATCTACATGGAACCTCTTCCGCTTCAGCTTCTCTTCTTTCTCTTTACTTATGTCTCCATAATTATTAACCTTACAAATTTTCCATTATTTATTATCAAGAAAAAACGCTAAAACTAACAATAAATGCAATTTATGACATCGACACTCTATTTTCAAAACCTAGATCCCAGGCTATCATTCAGATTTCATAGACCAGTAATATAGTCTTCATAATTTAAAAAAAAAACTCAGGGTTAAGTCAACAGCTAATATTCGAGAATAGATCCCTCCATGAAAAAATATATATCTTTGTGTGTATTAAAAAAAACACCATACCATAATGTTAGTAATTAACTATTCTGATTTGTTGACATTAACTGTCTTAATATTTTGTTATTCTTGGTTTGGTCTGATATATTTTTGTTTGATCTTTGTTATTTGATTCCCCTTTGTCAGGCGTTAGGCATAGTTTGGAGATGACTCATCTTCTGTTGTATTGAAGGATACGAATCCAACTTCAGATTTTTCTTATTTAATAAAATTCGCGTTTTTTTAAATGCATTTCCATTTTTACCTATAATAATAACACTGTATCACGTTTCCAATAATAATTTCTTTTTGTATTTTTTTATCAATTTGAAAAATGTAAGAATATTATAATTTTACGATTTCATATGCGTCAGTTATGAAATATATTATTTGCAAATTAATATGGTCAATATTTATTAAATGATTTTATTAAAATTCATCTCATTATTACAAGTTTAAAATTAAAATAAAAAACTACTTAAAGCTTTTATTAATAGAAGTGGAATCAAATTGAACAAAAAGAAAAAATGAAATTTTATGTATGAGAAAGGAAGTAAAATAAAAAGAAACAAGAGTAGTGATGGAAGGTAGGTGTGGATAGGAGTTTGAGGTCCAAAGTGTGATTGGTTTGGGCCTCCCTTTAGGGTTTTTAAAGGCCTTGGGTCGTTATAAACCTAAAACTGAAGTTAAATTCCCAATAAATCTAATGTATCTATAGATAAAAGCTTGGTTTATTACCATCTTTAACCTCTAATCTTTATACAAAGTACTTAATTAATTTCTCGAGAAAAGGGATGAAATGCTAGTATTATAGGTTATAGAGTGAGTGCATGAGAGGTATACGTTTGGTGAATTAAAAACCCCAACATTTTTCTTCTTATTATTGTTTTATTAAACGTGTGTTTAACTTCCTAGCCGTATGAAAAAATTATCCCACATATTCATCCTGATTTCTTCTAAAAGTAGTAGCATCTAAAAGTCAAAGGAGAACAATTTCTAAGTGCACCATTATTGTTCATGTTAAGTCAATAAATTTTCATAAATGAAGCCACCTAAACAGTTCTCTATTTTGATTATAATTGTTAATCCTTCAGTTATATTTTTAATGTCAAAGGTATCATAGTAATTAACATTTAAGAAAATACAGTAACAGAATATCTTGCTTGCGGAGCATGGCATCTAAAAAAAATTCAATGTGTTTATGTTGAGAATGCCACAGAACCTGAAATTACGCTTGATATGCTGTCAAAGCCACAAAAACAGAAAAAAATTACGTGGGAATAATGTCTTGCGAATTAGGTGGATAGTTAACTTCATTACATAATATGCTTTTCATCACTTTGGCTAATGTTACTCTCATGCTATGAATTTGTTTCTATATACCTACACACCAACAACACGCATCTTTTAACATTTTATCATCATCTCTTTCAATTTCATAAAACTTAATCTCACACCTTCTATGGATTAACTTTATCATAATCTTTATTAGGCAAACCATATATAGAGGCAAACTTTCACCATAATGTTATATAGCATGCATATAAATGCCATTTTTATATATTTGTTTAGATTATCTTCATGAAAATTAGTATATAAAAAATACGGACCTTATAATTTATGACTCGTAATTCTATCCAATAGGTTCAAATATCTTGGGTTAAGGTTTCCAAAATTTCTTCTATTTGTCCAAGAACGATTATGGGAATTGTGGACCCTCTCTCACTTGATAGTCACTCAGTCCCACAACAAGCTAGCAAATTTTTTTGTTTGTTTTATCAATTGCAAGAATAATCTAGCTAAGTTTAAAAATAGAAGCATTATTTAAAATGTTCATATATAGATAATAGAATAAATTTTTTTGGAGAGGAAACATGGGCTGCGATGCAAGGATGATATATACCATTATTACATCCTTTATGCTCATCCAGTTGTCGCCATATAGGATCTATGTATATACTATGGCTTAGATGAAATCGTATAGCATCTGCGATTTCTTGCAAATGGAATCTATATACATACATATATATATATATATATATATATATATATATATTAGTGAGCATTTTATACGTACAGAAGAGAAGAATCTCTGCCATGTCCCAACTATGACTGGAATTATGTCTGGGCATTAGCTTGTTTGGCATCAGGTTCTTATGTTCTTATTAGGTTCTTGGAGCATTCTTGGATTGGATGCAATTTATTTTTGGCTATTTCTTCTTCAACTTCCATACCTTCTTTTCATATCTCCATAACATAAAAAGTTAGGTTATGTAAGTTAAAATATAATTTTAGATGGTAGATTTCAAAATAGTTGAAAGTCTCACATTGATTAAAAATAAGACGATTTTATAATATATAAATGGATACAAATCTTATATTTATTTTGTGAGGTTGAAATAAACTTATAATTCACCTCTTAAGGCTTTATCAAAGTCATCCTAAGTGAATATAAATCTTATTTTATCAACAAAAATAATTAAGACTTATAATCTAGAGAAAAAATATATAATGAAAAGAGATAATATATTACAATATTTAAATTTGTAAGATTGAATTAAGCTTAAAATATGATTTTTGAATTTATCAGTCACATAAAATTGTGGAATCTAAAGCATGATTATGTAGCTTTAAATTTATCAGTGACATATTTTCTCCATTATTATATGTTTTAAAGAATGTAGTTTCGAATGTTATTGCAAAGATATATTAATAATTTTCTACATTGTATGAGAGTAAAGAAGAAAATATGGAAAACCCTTTATTTAGTTGCAAGTGGAGATAAGAATGAGTGGGGTGTCAATAGGAAACATGTTATGTATCAGTATTTAATTAGATAAAAAAAAACGATATATCATTTTTGCGTTCTGTTTATGCAAGAAACATCTATAACGCTATCTATAAAAATTTGCTTAGAAAGCTCCCTTCCCTTCATCTGCTATTACCTTCTCTATATTCTTAAGTTAGTTCATTCTGTGTTGTTTCTTATATGTGTATATATACACAGACAAAAGATTGACAGAAGAGAAAATATATAGAAGAACAATTATTATATGATCATGTAATCTGTACATATACATCTAATGAAAAACGGTGACCCCCTTTGTCCCCGCTCCATAATCATCTACAACAATCTCAAAAAGACTATGGCTCACATCATAGCACTCTTGCCAAGGAAATCAACAAACATTTCTCATGGCTCACAAGAAACATAGGGGACCACTTAACTTGAAGAAGGGAAACAGGCTCATTTAATTCAAGCATCCCCTCTGGCTTAAAGACCAAGATATGACACACAACTATGAACTTCCAATGTTATCCACCCTATCAATGACATCCAAGGCCTTCATTCGATGATTATCAAAGTCAATGACAGGAACAGAAGGTAGCCTCCTTGTTGAGAATATATCATTTTTGCTTTCACTGATTGGGGAGTGACTGCTACTCTTGCTTAGCCTATTCTGTTTGCTCAACCTGGTCTTGGTAGTGTCAAATTCTTGGCTCTTACTAATGCCCGGTGTTAGCTTCCTCTTGCTGACATCTCGGAGCATTTGTTGATCTTCAACTGTTAGCATGGGGGAAGAACAGGTTTTCTGTGTAAATAACTGCCCTGTCTTTTGGGTAGGAGAACGGATTGGTGATTTAACTGGGGACCTTATTCCTCCATTTCCAACTCTTACTTGGCTGACAAGATGATGAAGCCAGATAACAAGTTCAAGTATATAAGCTTCTGTTTTGTCTTTATCAGCATGGTGTAGTGTTTCAATTCTCAATAAATCGGTCTGACCAGCTGGTTTCCGGTTGATCTCAGACCTATACAAGCTGACATTAGAAAAAATAGGTAGAACATACAAACATAAAGGAATAGAATTCAGCCATCTGTCCTCACCCAGTATTTGCCCATTCTCCAACCCATCCAAAGCCATGATGAGCTCTGAATTAATCCAAGGTGAAAAGGAGATAGTTAAATTTGAGAGCAGAACATGTAGTAGAACATAATTTATTAAAGCTGATGCCTAATAGTAACACGGTTAAAGCAATAGTGTCTTTTGGGCATCCCAAATTGCTATTCAAAAATAGAATGATGAGCATTGTTATTTAATGATCACAATGGAAAAAAATTTAAACAGATTTGTTGTACCAAATGCAGTACTAGGACATCTAGTAATTGCTTAGTAGGGATTAGCAAATATACTTCGTTGTGTTTGCAGCAATAGGGACAAGCCACTGCAATATTTTCTCCATTTCAGCTTTGATTTGTGGGACAGTAAGCTGCAAGAATGTTTTAGATTTAGATTCAAAGATTTGGTCACAATCAATATTGGGAATGTAGTATAAGCTTTATTAGTACAACTCTTTCGGCAGAGATAAATTCAATAAAAATCATTAAAAGATGGAACTGGTAAAGTCATTAACAAGCATTTAATAAATTTAAAATAAAACCTTTCTCGTCAAGTATGGGTTACAAGAAAATTGAAAATTCTGAAGTAAACGTTAAATTTTTTAAAGGCAAAAATTTTCTGAGTAAATCATTATGTGGAATATATTAAGAGAATATTAGAAAGAAAAACTAAATATTAATTTAATAAGTGCTCACTGTTGCAAAAGCATAGACCAGCATGTAAGTTTGAAGTACATATAACAAGAAAACATTGCTTGACACATACAACAAAAATCAGTATTGAGTTCTTCCCCTTGCTTAAGTCAATTAAATTCTTCCATGCATACGACTAATATAAAAAGAGGGAGAATGGATTTATATATTCAAAATATATTAACCGGAATACATGCGAGAATAGTGCATTTTATAATCTTAATAAATTAAATGATCTTACTTGGAAGAAAGTGAGATAAAAATTCCAATTAGATTCAAACTTTCTAAATGAAAAATTAAAGGGGCACATCAATAATTAATCAAGTATTTATGGTATGGATACCCAGCTAATAAAATGTATGATGGGAATGGAATATGCACCTCTTCTTTAACCTGAAATGACTGTAACCTTGAGCGCAATGCTGATTTTACATTAGGCGGAAGCCCTTGATATAAGGCATCCCTTGTATTAGGAGGCACAGAACTTGATCGAGACACCTGGTTAAATTAAAATGTAAACTCAGGGCTACCTTCCTAATAGTCGTGCTATCATTTTTTTTAGAAACAAATAATAGGGCAGTTGTGACCATTTGTGTCTCTAACAGCTTGAGTAGCATTATATATAAAACTATAACACATCCTTTTCGCCTTATAGAGTTGGTGCCATTTTTCTATTCAATAAAATATATGAAACGATTAAAAAGATGGCCATAATCTTTCCATGATGTATGTTCTTTATCCTGATCAGTCCTAATAATATCAGAATCACAGTAGTCAGAATCATAATGCCCAAAAAATTTAAGCCAGCCCAAAAATGAAGATACACTTGTACTACATTGTCACTTCACTAGACAAGTTTTAGACTGGATCAAGCTTAATGAACAAAGGACCAGCAGACAGAACAGGCAAAAAAGAAGACAGCAAACGGACTCCAGAACCTCAAGATTTGGACAGAAAATCTCAAGCATTTTATTTTTGCTTTATTTTTTTCCTTGCATGTCAGATGTCACTCGTTTATTGGAGCATGGTTACTCATTAAGTAAATCATCATCTTATTCGTGCAAAAATATAAGAAAGAACTTCTGTGTTCATCTTACTTCTCAAGAGAAGTACGTAATACGCAAAACAAGAAATGAAAAAGAATTGCATCTCCTGTTTGACAGGCTTTGCTTCCTGGTGTGTGTATCAAAAGAAACTAGAAGTGGCCCATCAATTTTGATTAACTTTCAAAGTTTCCTAATAATGGACAAGCTTAACTTAAAATATTCAAAACAAACAAAAAATATCACCCATTTTATTAACTGCTTTTAGTTATTAAAACTTCACTTGGATAGACAAATTATCAGAACCCAGATAGCCATAGAATCAAACTGACTTTAAAATGAGGTAGGAAAACCCAAAATGTTCCTACAGTATCCAACTGATCTGTTTCTTTTTACATTAGAGGGGTAGTGGTCTTCCTTTTGGTAACATTTTTTTAAATAAAGTGAACACAATAACAGATTAGGCCAAATAACAGAAAGTCATTAAAGAATTCAGAAAATAGGAATTTTGCAATATATAAAATTTCTTGTATTAATAATGATTGAGTTATACTAAAGTATTTATAAAATCAGATACCTTGAGCTGCAAGATTGTCAATTAAGTTCTAACTGTCTACAACAAACTCCAGCTGTCCTACTAGAACTACAGGTGGCTCAATGTTAAGAATAGTCTAATACTAATTATACTAACAGTCATTCATACCATTGTGACAAATATGGAGAGAGGAGAAAACGAGAGAACTGTTTCATTTCATGAAAATAATATAAAAAGATAAGTTGAAAGAACCAATGCTATCACCATATCCCAACATTATCATGAATAGGAAGCTGAGTTTGAGGTGATTTTTTTTTAACACACTATTATGCTTGTTTGAGACCTGTGTAAATGCATTACTTCCCTTCTATTCTTTCCTTCTCCAATTTTGTTATTAAAATAATATTTTACAGCCAAAAAAGACAAAGAAAGATAATTGAACTTCCAAGACCATGGCAAATAGTAGAGATTATGTAATTTAAGTAGAATCCTAAACTCACAAGAGTGTCAATTTGAGTGATAATGTTCGCATAATGCAGAGCAAGACCCGCAGATCCCAACTTCTTGTGGTTACTTTGAGAATCATTGGCTTGCTTATCAGTATCTGCAAGGAGGAAGAGGTATAAAACAAATGTTTTATTTACCTGGTATTTTAGCAATGGCAATGGATAGTCTACATTTTGTCAGTAAAATGAAAGGAGGAGAAACTAAATTGAGCGGGATTAAGAACAAAATAGGTCAGGACAAGGTCAACAGATCAGAAAATTCATTCACAAAAAACATGGGACAAGTTAAAAAGAAATTATGAGAAACATTATTATTGCATCAAATTGATGCACACAACTTCACATCAAACCATTGAAAGCACATAAGCTTTGCAACTATAACCATACAAATGAATGGGCCCTTTTGCCCTTGTTGAATACCATATCCAGACTATAGGTCAATGCTATAGCAAAGAGTTTCTTTCGTCAATAAATCAAATACTCTTCCTACAAATAAAACTCCAGCAAGTTTGACAAATAATGACTGGGAAATAAATAGATGTCAGGTCCACCGTAACTAATTGGTCCATACTCGGAACAAAAATAAAGAATATCACAAACTTGCTAAACACAATAAAAAATACTGGGAATTCTTGAAAGCGTACCAGAACTACCAAATGCTTCATGGATCTCCAAGTATAGAAAATGGACGATGTCTACAAGCTTTTCCATCACCTGCAAATACAACAATTAGAATTTATACTTGTATGATAAGAAAAATGCTCAAGAAAAGGAGGCTGAAAGAATTGGAAAAGTAAATTTTATTAGGGAAAAAGAGGAACAAAAGGGGGAAATGAATGTAGTTAAACTGAAACAACAACAAAATTCAGTAAAAATAATTCAAGGATTTCAGAGAAAGCACATTTCAGATGCCAAATCATCAATACTACAAAACTAAACAAATACAAAATACTAAATCTAAGATAACCTTCTATTATAATAATCGATTTAACCTAAAATATTTGTAGAAATAACACTGTTTACCTCTTCTAAAATCTTGGACCATAATGATTTTTTCTTCAGATTTCTTACATGCTTCTTTTGACTCTTCAGTTCTGCTCTTAAAATTGCAAGGCTGTCTCCTACACAGTTTGTAATCATTGATCACTTAAAAATATGAGTATTATTGTGATAACAAAGACAAACATAGTTATATAACAACAAGAGAAATATGACTTGGAGGTAAATGAACTAAGATGTCACACACAGCATACAAGCTCAGTAGTTAAGATGGAGAAGAGCATCAGAGGTTATTTGTGACAACAAAGTACCAACCAAACTAAAAAGAAAGCTTTCTCATATTGTTATATGGTAGTGAATGTTTAAATAGATATCACGAGAAAAAGGTGAGAGCCGCACAAATGAATATGTTAAGATGAATGTGTAGCCACACAAAAGACAACACAAAATAATTTTAATATTATATATAAGGATATATTGGCCGGATACCAATTGAGAAAGAAATGGAGAAAATTGGTTGAGTTAGTTTGAATACAGGCAAAGAATGCCACTAGAGGATGAATCGACATATATTTTGGTCAAAACTACTGTAAACAAGACATTGACTCAGAAACAAATAAATTTTCAAATGCTCAATACAAGAACATGGAATCTGTTGTAGCTCGTATGTTATTATTCATTATTTATTTTATTTATTTTTTTCAGATTTAATTACACATGCTTCCTCACTATATGTAATGTAACTACTACAGTTTTCCTTATTTGTACTTGAAGTAATCATGGTTCTGGGATAGCCTTTATAACCAAATCTGTATACATCGTAACTTGCATTGTACAGTTTTCAATTATCAGAAATAATATTGATTTTTCCTCATGTCTCAAGAGTATTTAATGACAATTGGACAAGTAAATCCAGGCCAACATGTACCTCTTTGTGTGGCATTTGAATTGTCCTCTTCTTGAAGCTTGCGCCGATAATCTTGATCAAATCTATCTAAAGCATGCAATTCATGATATAATTCCTGCACTCAAAGAAAAAGGTCTAACTAAATTATGTCAAGTTAACAAAATCAGCTGTGCAGCATAAAGAAATAAGAACCAACTTTCCTTTCGGATGTCTATTTTTTCTCTTATTTCACAAAGTAAAGGGAGGAGATGAATTGGAATCAGATCATGACTCATTTTTCAATTAAAAAAAGAAGAAACTTCGAACCCTTCTTTGCTCTCCAAGTTATTATCGTTCTGCTTTGCTTTATTGTTTTCTGTTTTGTTCTTTAGTTGATGAATTCAACCCTCCCCTTCATAATTTTTCTCTTGGTCTTGTGAATTTCTTTCCTTCTCAAAAGAATATAATAAAAATGATCTTCAAGAAGCTTACATTCCTTTATTATTGACTCTGATGTCTCACATGCATATAACTAAAATATATGTATATATATGTATGTGTATATGTGTGTGTATGAAAAAAAAGGAATGCAAATAATTCAAAAATATTAAATTGACAAGCTATTTACCCACAAATGAAAATTTGATATCCAATTAGTAGCACAGATGTTGCTTGTGTTTGTTGAGTTCAAAGTTGAAAATTAAAATGAAAAGGTAATAAATGCCACATTAATCTAGCTAAAGGTATGTAAAATTGTCAAACCTTAGTTAGCTAAAGGTACGTAAAATTGTCAAAGCTTAGTTTGTAAGGATAATTTCTTACAAAAAAAGTCTAATATAACATTAATTACTCTTCTGTCAATTATAACCTTACTCTTCACCTAATCTTTAATTATAAGCTTTTATTGTAATGTGAAATAAAAAAGTTCATAACTATTTTATTAAGATCTACAAAATTATTGTGTTTCTTGATTTCTACAAAAGAACCTTAAATAATGGACAAAATAAAACGGGGGAATATTTATCTCAGACTACTTAACCACTATATAATTTAATTATTCATGATTACCCATATCAAACTTTTTTTTCATAATTAAACAAGAATGTTTGGAAATCAAGCTTAACTTAAATTATACAAGTGTTAAAAAATTGTTCATAGGATTCTTAATATGCATAACATGACAGATGAAAGAAAGTGGCAATTTCATTGAGAAACAATCCGTAAATTCAAGACAGTAAACCCAGAAAGCACAGGAGAAAGGTCCATCTAAGTATCTCTCAATCTAAATGTGCAAATGTATAACCTGTTAATACACATTCTTTCTTATAATAAGTGCAATAACATAGATAGCTAAGATTAAAGTTTCAGATATAAAGTGGAAATATACTAGACAGTAAATTATCAATCTCTGAAATGAAAGTTTATATCTAATTAAAAATGGACGGTGACAGTGAATCTCTTAAATAAGATACCTTTACACAACATGGCTGCAGCATAAAACAAAAGTGAATTCAACTAAGAACATGCAATTACCAAGCAATTGAGACAGCTTTATTTTCTTCATATGAATGTAGTTGTGTTTTAAGTGATATTCTTGGCAAAGGGAATGAGGGTGATAAAAGAATTTCAAACTACAACAGAGGTTTGTTTGAATAAAATTCTTCATAAACACTTTTAAAAGAAAAAAATAAATTAAAAAGTGAAACAAATCTCTCTGCGAGCTATTATATAATAGCTTCTCCAAAATATGTTTTTATACTCTTGCATAAGTTAATTTAAGTTTATGGAGAAGTTTATTTCCTTTTTTTTTTCTTGCTTTCTTCTCCTAAAAGTGTTAATAGAGAAGTTTACTCAAAGAGACCCCAAAACACAGTTTCCCATTAGTTTTGTGCAAACTGTATGTTGAACACATTCCTTAGATACAATACTCAAATACACACTTTGACAAAGATATAAAGTGTTATGAGTTCAGCATACAAATCCGAAGATGACAGGGATATGCACTGTGCCTTTTAACAGGCTTACTCACAGCTGTATATTGAACAAAGGTCATTAGTTGTTGCACCACAATTTCTGCCTCCTCTTTCAATTGTTTTTGTGGTGTAAGCTCTGAACATAACCTAAACATCAACAAAGGCAAAGAAAACCATAACAAACACAATGTTAGATGTTACAAGAAAATATATAAATAAAGACTAAATCCATTCAGCTATATTTGTTCTTAAGAAATATAAGATTAAATCAATTCAACTACAATTACTTCTCAAAATAGCGATCTAGATTGTGCCACTGAGGATCTTTACAACGATTTCCAAAACGCACAACTTCTCCCGAAAATATTTTCAACTCTTCTCTGTCAAAAAAGAATAAGAAAGTGAAAACTTTAAGAAAATAAGCTCCAAACTAGAATAAGAGTTCTACTATGTTGATCATGAAAATATCCATTATAGTCTACCTCTTGTCTGCTGCAGCAATTCTTAGGAGTTCATCCATATCTCTGGATATCAAATTTTTCACTCCTTCAGATGGCAGAACCACCTCTTTTAAATGTCTGATGTTCTCTTTTGAAAGAGATTGCATCAGATTGGCACCCTTAACAATTGTGTTTGCAACTTCGAAGGCCAAAATTGAAATTTTATTTCCTTTTGTTGACACACCCGATGTAAAACCACTACTGAGATTCAAATTTGTCATACTACTACCTAGTGTGTCCAAAACTTCTACTGCCTTGCCAAGCCCAGCTGTACCAGCTCTTCCTAAAAGTGAACTCACTTCTGATACCTGTAATACAGCAAAAGATAAGACAACAAGCCAATCTAATCCCTTGTTTGCATATATGGGAAGCCTTAAAGACCTGAAAATGGGGAAGGGGGAGAGAAAGGAAATGGTAAAGAATATAGATCCAATCTAACCCATGAGATCAAGAACAAGTTCTTCTTTAAGACCAATGTTTGGCACCATGGAGGTATTAGCTCATTAGAAAAATGAAGTCTAACTAATATAATTAAAAGCACAACATATGTAAGCACTTCTCTGTAAACTCACATATCTTGTAGTACAAACTCCAGCCTTCTTATGACAAAGAACAGAAATTATCTAGACATCTAACCACACGATATCGATTAGAAAGAAAAAAAGGAAGGACCTTCCTGTTGCACCTTCCAATCAATTGGCTGACATTCACTATAACTCTCCTCCCTATAAACCTCACAATGTGTTGCCAAGCTGGGACTCTTGCACATCCACAGTCCAGCATGAAGGGGAATATGGCAGCTGAAATTTGTTATTATTTTCTCCAATTCATAGATTGCTTATGCATTATTTGTAGTGAGACACTTGTCACACATCCCTCCCATTCTCTCCCTTGTTTGTTAGGACACTTGGCAAACATCCTTGTTATTCTCTTTCTTGTTGGTTAGGTACAGTTTTCTATACAGCACCTTGTACCGATCTTTTCTGCAATGAGAATGCATGAAATCATTTCATAAGTATCTTCAATGCTCACTGTAGGTTCAAATGTGATTTGGTTTTACCTTCGCTTTGATACACTAAATTTTGTTGTATTGGCCTTAGCTAGTGATGAATTTTAATCACATTTCCAGAGAAAGATAAAAGAGAATTTGTATTAATGTTAAATGAATACAAAAGTGACCGAGTCTCTAATTTACAGGCCTATCAGGAGTCAGTCAAAACTCCTAACAGATACTGCTCAATACAAAATACAAAAGAGAAGAGTATTCTCTTAACTCTGAAGAAGATTCATTGAACCAATTTAGATAATTAAATACACAAAATAATGAGAAATATCCCGTTAATAATTAAAATTAGCATAGTTTTGTAAATATTGGAATTTTTTATGGCTATTGTTTTACATAAATACACACTATACTTCGTGAAAAATTGCAAAAAATGTGGAATACGCTCCCATTGCCCAGCAGCAGTCTTGTCAATGCAGGGTGAGGAGTGCAACCTGGCACAAACTATACGTATGAGACATGAGAGAAAAATTAAATCACATAGATTGAGTATGAAACTACAAGAGGAGATAACTGGAGTGAGATTGAGAGAAGTGGTAGATACTAAGAGTGACCTTCGTTCCCATGATGATATAACAAGATGCAGAATCGGTCATGCAATGACATAGAAGGCCATAGCCCAGGGCAGCAGTGCAAATAGCGCATGGTGACCATTGTGAATAAAGGAGAGGTCCAGTGGTGTTTGCATAAAGAGATTTGCAAATGGGTACGGAACAAAGAAGATTGCAAATGGGTACGGAACAAAGAAGATTGCAAATGGGTAGGCAAGGATTTGGTAAATGAGAAGAGATTTTAGGGATTTTGGAACCTGGTCAAACACAAACCAGCTTTTTTTACTTGCTCTGCCTTGCTGGGGACCAACGATCCCACAATTGCACATGGAATGTCGCAATCCAGCTCCAACCTTACTCCTTGGCAATCCCAACAACAATTCAGCTTGCCAAGGCATGTTCGATTGGCAGATCATATGATCCTATGAGGTAAATCACGATTTTAATAACAATGGTACAGATGACTTGGGATCACTGGAAAAATTTCCCCATGTCAGTTGGATTAAAAGCTATAAGGTTGGTTTTACAGGAATTCCAAGCATGAAACTGCTTTATGTGGTAGAAATTGGAGATGCAGTCTGCCCAAAAATAATATGTTGTCACTCTATGCAAATTTGGCGGCTCTTTAGTGAATTTCATCAGTGTATACTATCAGGAGCTCTGACCTAATAGCTTAAGCTTTTTGGAGAGATAATCTTGATATTGTATCAAAGCGTCAATATACAAGAGCTCACAAGTTTGATGCTTGATGCCACTATTCTAAATAAATGTGAATTGGCGTGTTAGCAAGGCAAAAAAAATGCCTGAGTTCCCACAGAATAGGTTAAGCTTTTGGGAGACTTTTATCTTTGTCAGAGTGAAGTACGTAAATTTTTAAGGGTATACCATTTTAGCTAAATATGCTTTGAGATTTTGGTTCATGGCTCCACCTAAGTGCTCTCTACCCATGGCTTTTTCAAGAGAGTTTCCGTTTCTAATCTGAAGACAGTTTGTTTTCTTTCTCTGAATAGTATCTTGTCCCCTCAACTGTACCTCCCCTCTTTTCTCTCTAATGAAATAGCTTTTTCTATTATAAAACTTCTTGGTTTTCCTTCATATTCACACAAAAAAACAGCTTTCCAGCCAGGGGCATCTTTGCAGCATATTGATTATAAGAACTTCCAAATACAAAATAAGCTAATCCAACCTAGAAGAATAAAAAGATCAAACATGAGAAAGGTAACTCAACTTAACAGCAGCTTGTTTGGACTTAGATTTATGCGATAAAGCCCTGGACAGGCGAGGAATCCCATCATTGATATCATCTGCCATTGACCCATAGGAAACATTTTCCAATCCAGTAAAAGAAAACGACTCCCGTTGATGTTTATCCAAGTCATCATCATCAGGAAGCGCGTTTGAATTGCTATCTATACTTCTGGGAGGTCCAATAGACTGATAAGCCATTCCAGCCTCACTATTAGCATGACCATTAGCATGCCTCGAGCTTCCACTGAGTGCATTATCCACAGCTACACCATCAACAGTGCCTTTCCATGACCTCGAGCAAATACCACCCATATTATGTCTAATTGCTTGTGACTCTATAGTTTTACTCTCTGTACACAATGCCCATACAAAACACCCTGTAACTCAAACAAAACCTCAACACAGAGCCTTCAATTCACAGGAATGGTATAATCAAGGCACAAAATTTGATGATACCAGTTTTGATCACCCTTACTGCTCCACTCCATCAACTCTGTTCAAGTCACAAAATCTTTTCTAAATTAGAAAAATAAATTAAAAATCCATAAAATCTAACATAGTAAAAAAAAATCCAGAGGAAAACAGGAGAGACCCAATTAACTAATTAAAGAGAGAAAAACGGAACACCCCAACCCATGAATCAAAGCTATTCTACAGAAACCCAATAGAGTAGTGGATCAAATAAAGGTAATCGACAGGGTAGAGAGATACCAGAAGAAGAGATCTGTGAGAAGTAGCAAGTGTGCCATTCTGAGAGGAAGAGAAGCAAAAGGGGTGCAAGAGAAGGTGAATGGCAATGGAGGGTCAAAGGGATCCAAGAGAAGCAAAGAGAAGTTGAGTGAGCTTTTTTTTGCCCTCTCTCTCTCTCTCTCCCTCCCTCTGTTTCACATACACAGAGTCCTCTGCCCCCGAAGTGAAACAGGAGCAGCTGGCACACGCAACACAAAGGCACAGAGGCAGACTCAGTGAATCAGCTATTCTCTCTCTATCTTTCTCTCTCCACTCTGCTGTGTTGTTCCATTTTCAGCGATGGTCAAAACGCAGAGTTCACACACGCATCACAACACAGCACAACCCCACTAACTGTTGTTTTGTTTTATTTTGACCGTGGGTGAAAATGAAGATCAAAATGTTCTCCCAACTACCAATGAAACGCATCCATTCATGGGGTTGCCTTCGTCTTTTTCACTGCCTTCCTATCTCTTAATGACAACAATCACCTTTGTGTAATAAAAACATTTTTCTTGTCAAACCTGAAATTTCTTATTTCGTTCCAAGATTCAGAAAACATAACATTCTCCACTTCCCAGATCAAATTACATTACACGTGTCACAAGTTTGAATAAAAAATCTTTCAGAAAGAAAAAACATGTTTTTTACAGAAAAAGAAAAAACATGTCAAATGTTACTAGCTAGTGATGTTGAGGGTCATGAAGCGATAGGAAACGGTATTTAAATGTTGACTTTATTGCATGTATACATATTGTGATGGAAATCATATTTCATTACATAGAAACTATCGATGAAACAATATCAGATCAACTCCTAATAGTTAAAATTTACTCTATTAATTGAAATAAAAGATACTAACAAAAAAGAAAAATATACTAAAATATTTATTAATTCTGCATCAAAATTATATCAATGTGCTATTAAAATGTTCAGTTATTTTTAATTTAATTCTATATAATGTTAAAGCCTGTCTCCACGTGTTATATTAACTTATGTAGGTTACGAATATAAAAGGTACGAAAATTAAATAACTTTTCAAAATTTAATTAAAAAATGAGTATATAATTTTTTATATAGAAATAAATAATTCTAATAAAGATATAAATTTAACTGTTTAAATAATTATATTAATGTGGATTTTCCATCTGAATAGTTATAGCGACTTTATGTATTATTATGTTTTTATATAAAATATTCAATCTTGAAAAATGGTATAGTTATATTTTATAATTTAAATATTTATAAAATTTACTAATTATTAGCATGTTTCTAAATTTAAGAAGCATGCACTGTCAGCGAAAAAAAGTTTGTATATATTGTCTATTGATAGAAGATTACTTTTGATCTTGTACCAGGAATGACCGTTAGCGCATTTTAATGCCGAAGGACCAACCACCGTCCGCCTTCCGTGACATTGGAGGCAGACGCCCATATCACATGGGCAGACGCCCACACGACATTGACCGCCCAAATCACTAATCATCGTGGCTTAGGTAAATTAACCTGGCTTAGAGGTAAGTGGGGATTAAAAGCTATTGGGCTACTTTGGGCTGTGATTAACTTTTCACTAATCCCAAGCCCATAGCGAAAACTATAAATACAGGTCCATGGTGAGTGGTAGATAGGTTACATTAAATGCACATTTATTGCTGTCCTTAAGAAAAGCCATTGTTCCGAAACTGACTTTGGCATCGGAGAGTCTTTTGCAGGTCTCCGCCCCCAAGGATTAAAGGGAGAGCTAAGACTTGGAAGGAAGATCAGCAACCAAGACAAGAGCGCAGGAGAATTGGGAGATCAGGAATAGCACAGCCCTACACATCCGAAACAGATCTGATTTTAAAAATAATTATAAAAGTAAGCAGATATATTAGATACCAATATTGGCAAGTTAAGTAAGACCATAGGAGATTTTTACATTAATTATTCATGTTCTATTCGTGTTTTCTTTTTAATGTTACATGTTCATACAGTTTTGAAATATTTCCATGGTTATACTATGACCGTTTTTTTTACAACAGATATTAATTAGTTACATGTTAAATATTCATTTATACGTTATGCAAGTATATAATTTAGTTACAAATCTTAATATGTTTTCATGAAAAAAAAATCATATTATGTAGTGGTATTTGTCTTCCGTAACCTGTACGTTAATAATGTATCTATATAATTTATAATGATTATATATAAATATTTATTGATGGCTGAAATTTATATCACTGTTTTTTATGACAATGTATGTCATTAGCTATTAATAAAAATGAATATACGAGTAAAACGTGTTGTGTTTATCCAAGGAATTAGAAATGCATATTTGCGGAATTATAATAATATGCAATCTCGTTTGAGGGAGGAGGAAATTGGTAAGTGTGAAATATGTTTTTACAATAACGTCTTTGGTTAAATGGTTAAATAATACGCAATATGGATGATGTGAAATAATTTTATAAGATGAGAATCAATTCCACGGAGGTGAAAATCGATTGCATGTCTATTCCATACATGTATAAATAATTATAAAATTGGGAAATAGGTTGCAAAATAGTAATTTTACATTTTACTTTATTAAAATATTTTTTTATTCGATCACATTCATCAAATTTTTCACAATCATTTCTAAATTTTACATTCAAATCTATTTACTTACACTCTCAAATTCCTTAAAAAAACAAAACAATTTATCTTCAAATTATTTTTTTCACTTTTTCTTAAATTCATCATCTTAAGAAAACACATTTCAATAATATGTTTAAATTGAAGAAAGGATTTGAAAGAAGATGAGTAGATAGATTCGAAGAAATAGAAAAAGAATTATAATATTGTTTGTTTTAAAGAGAAGATTATGTGATTTAAGTGAATTTGTAAAGAAAGTTTCACAAACTTTGTGTGATATGATGACTATGATAAATTAAAAATGTTTTAATTGATAAAATTAGATTATTATATTATCATTGAAAATAAATATGATATAAATTTAACGTAAATTATGGAAATTATATTAAAATGAAATGAAGTTGTTATTTATAATTAAGGTAAATAAAATAAATAATATTATGTTGTGAGCCTTTCACAGCCGTATGTTCTTACATATGGAATTATGGGGGAATCGAATCTATGAAAGAATGAATTAAAACGAGTGAGGAATCAATTCCCAAGGGTAGAATAGTCATTTCACGTTATATATAGAGTAAATACTTGCATATAGAGTAAATACTTGCAAATAGAGTTGTCAAAACGGGTAATCCGGCCCGGCCCGACCCGATCCACCACGGGTTGGCCACTTAGTGAGCCAACCCAACCCGGCTCATTTATTAGGGAGCCAAAAAAATTCGAACCCGACCCGACCCACCACGAGTTAGTGGGTTAAACGGGTTAGCTCACTTAATTAACTTTTTTTTCAGTCTTATAACATGTTATTTTGATGGATCAAATTGAAATAGTAATAATTGGACCAATTGATATAAAAGAAAACGAAACAAAAGAAATATATTGTTATATATATTCTAAGCTATCAAACATACAATTTTGCCAATTTAATTTAATGAGACATACACAATCGTTTGACCAAGAAATTACATATAGCCGTTAACAAAAATATATAGCACAAGATAAAACTGTCATGCTTGTAGATAGGTCTAAAAACAAGATAAAACAAATGATATATTCATGAATTATCCAATCTATAATATTATCCATCTATTAAGTTGGAGTCCTGAATGGATAAATCCACAATATTATGCTCTCTTGAAGTATCTCCTTCCTTATCAGGTTGTACATTTTGAATAATTAATTTAATTAATTTGATTTCAATAAAAAAATAATATTTGAAAAATTAATTTAATTTAATTAAAAAAAATAGGTGGGTTGGTGAGCCAACCCGACCCACCACGGGTTCAACCCATGTGAGCCGGGTTTTTAGTGAGCCGGGTCAAAATTGGCTCGCATAAAAATTTTACATTTTTTTTCAACCCAACCGACTCAAACCTTTGGTGAACCGAGTTGACTCACGGGTTTCAACTCATTTTGATGACACTACTTGCAAATCTTGATATAACATAGTAAATCGTTTCAAATATAGGAAAACAAACAACCTCATCACCCGCAAATTCACCTCGTTGCACAATAAATCATCAAACATACACTAAAAGAAAACAAACTCCTTCTATAAAATAAATTAAAACAACTTATACAAAAGAAACATCAAAACATTTATATTATATTTTATTACATTAACAACAACACATAAATACTCCATTTCAAGCAAGTCACTAAATATGAATAATTAAAAAAATAATAGTCTTTACTTTAGTTTTCATCTTCTACCTTTCCTTCATTTTAAATAAATCTTCAAATGTTATTGTTGTTAAATATAAGTTTAATTTATTGTTGTATGATAAAATAGGGTAAATAATTTGATCTAAATAGAAAAACAGCTAAACTTTTTTTAACCTAACTCACATCTAAAACACACAAACATGTACAGAAGGTACAGTGCAACTTAATCTTGGCACAATCATGAATTTGTGGATTTTTTTTTTCATTTTTCTCAACCTGGCTCTTTGAACTCACTTTTGGATCCTTGGATTCTAAAAAGTGTTTGGCTCCACCTGCTGAAACAATGAGCCTACGTTTGGTTTGGTTTGGTTTGGTTTTCCGTACAAAACAAAGGACAATCCAAATGCACGGTTAAACTTTCGGCTGGTTAAGCTCTCAGTTGTCTTAAACAAACACGTTAAATTTTCTGAAAACTATAACTACTGATATTCCAACGTATTAAAGCAACATGTTCGATACTTTTTTGTGAGAAAGCTTGCTGAAATTTCAAGGAAATTTCTTAAGCATCAATGAAAAACACAACAAAGAAAAACTATTTCTCAATTATTTTTTGTCAGTTTGTAAAATCCCAAATGGCTTCAGATTTTTCCTTGTCAGGGCTTACATGCTACTTTAGTCTTCACTGATGGGTGCTAATATTTGTTTATTTTCATACATAGCCATTGACAAACACCCAAGAGGTACATGAATATCATTGATTTAGAAGTTTCAAAACTTGTTTGAACTACTTATTCAAACAGATTCTTTTAAATAATATGGCAGTTTTTCCATAAAAGAAGTTTTCCAAAATGGTTTGTAGTTCTTTATATAGTTAAAAAAACTGGGAAACCCCTGAAAGCATCGTTGCCTAAGGAATCGATCCTATAAATTGCGGTTGGCCAACTTAGGAAATGCAAACAAACAAGGATTCATTGATTAAGCTATTAAGCTTTCACATGCGTATAATCATTACCCTCACGCACAGTGCAAGCACATCTGAATAGGAGAAGAGTTCACAAACAATAAATTAAGGGTTGCAAAGAAGTTAGATAGCTGATT